CATTTTTGAATCTTGTTGAGTGGTTTCCGATTATATTTGTCTATTTCTTGTGCAGTTTTTATTTTTACCAGATGAAATGAAAAAAAAATTGTTCTATTTTCAAAAAAAACAAGTTTTCTTCGTGCTATTGCCGTGTGCGCAAAGTTTGTTCATTTTTTCACATAATTTAGACATAAGCAGCTAAAATATAACACTTTGACAGGAACAAAAATTGTGTCACATAGTGTTTTATAACAAAGTTGTTTTATGTATAATATTATCAAATTTTGGGAATTAAAAGTGGATGGAGCAGATTGTCGTATTAGTGTTTTTTGAAACTATTGGTGCCACCACTGGTCTCCGTATTAACATCAGTTATATAATTTATATCTTCATTAACATTTTAGTTGTGACTTTACTTTAGTTTAGTGATCATTTAAAAATGTTTTCAAAATGTTGATGATAATATACAAAAAAAAAAGGTTTTTTGATTGTTAAACGATTTGTTTAGATCATTTTGATTTCATTGATTTAAGCAAAAATTAAGTTAGTATTTCCATTTTTAATTATTATTTTTAGTATTTTACTATTTAACTTTGCTCTTTTTATTCAATCTTTACTCTTTTTATTTGAATATATTATCTTTCACTCACTTTCATTCAATAATTTTTGTGAAAGTGAGTGAAATCTTTGTTATGACATAAATATAATCTTTGTTATGATATAAATATAATTGTAGTAATTCAAAATAAGATTATTACACTAAATAATGACACCAATTATGTGTTAAATAAAATTTCTTATACAACTGTGTCCTAGATAATAACATTTTTTTAAAAAATAGTTCAACATGAACTTTATTCTGCTTTTTATTTACAGTTAATAAAATTTTAATTAAAATTGAAAACTTTGTTATTGGTTTACCATTCATTTGTTGTAAAAAGTACTAGTGATATTTTTTACTCAAGCTTATAGCTTTTCTGTTTTCATTTTTTAGAAAAACATAAGTTATCTGATTGCTAATTAAAGAATGAGAAAAGTTGAGACAAGTAATGCTCAAACATAATACTGTTTTTAGATAAAATTAAATTTTAATCGCTAGGTTAGAAAATGATATGACCCAAATAGTCATACCATTTTCTAACAATCTGATTCTATTATCACATCTCCCAGGTCTACGTAACTGGACACCTCTGTTGGTCACCTTTTGCGATCACTGTGTCTCATAAACGGTTAAAAATTTATTTTGATCCATATGGTATAAAAGTAGTCGATTCCAAATAAATGAAAGTTAGAATAATAAATTCCAAATAAATATTAGAATGCTTTCGTAAGAATATAAATCTCTAGGAATGCTTTCAGAGAGACTTTATATGGTATTCGCTTCTTTATCCAATTTGGGATTAATATATGTATTTTTGATTTTTTACATATGTGATGTTTTCCACCCACAGCTCGTGTAAGATTGACCATAAACATTACAACGTTTTTGTGTAAGATTGAACATAAACTATTACAACGAAGTTCTCGAAAACTTAAAAAAAAGTTAAATAGTTAGTTTATTTTTAAAAAAATTGCTATTAGTATATATATTTAAAGTTAATATTAAAAATATTTTCTGTTCTTTTGCTATTTACACGCTATCTTTTGGTTACAATACAATTTTACATAATAACCTTAATTAGCCTACATATGTATATTAAAAATAAATTTTCTTAAAATTTAACTTTTGTTTATTAAAGACCAAAATAAATAAGATCTTAATAACCTCAACTTGAAGTTTTATGTTCAAAAATCTCAAGAAATCTCAGTAGAGAAATATTAAATATAAATTACCACATAAATACTCTAAATAATGTTAAAGTGATGTTATAAAAGTATAACCAACATTATATTGGTAAAGTATAACATTTAAATTTTAACTATTTTTTTCTTTGCTTTATTTATTATCATCATATTACTATTCTTAGAAATAGAACCTTTTCAGCAATATAAATGGCCAGTTAACTCTACACATGGATACAGGTATAGATACAGGAGAGTTAACATAAGAGCAATATTTAAAAGGTTTTTATATAAGGTAAAAAGACATAAATATGTTACTAATACTATTTCAGAAAGTTAATGTTTGTTAATGTTTGTTTGATTATGTTGCTGAATGCTGTTTTGGAAAAAAAATGATATATCCTACTAAGACAAAATAAATAATTTTGTGAATTCTTCACTTAACTATATATATATATATATATATATATATGTCACGTGTAAAAACAAATTCCGATTTTCAAGGAAAATATAATTTTATATTGTAAAATGTCAACTGGTTTTACTTGCAAAGATGTTTACTTGTCATTTGAAGATTCATAAGGGAGGCGGAGACGCATTAGAATGTGGTTCTTATAGAGGAATCAAATTGCTAGACCAGGTTATGATGATTTTAGAAAAAATTATTGAAAGCAAAATAATGAGCAGTGTATTTATCAATAACATTCAGTTGGTTTGAGGCTAGGAAAAGGAATGACAGATGTTATTGTTATTGTAAGGCCAGTTTAAAAAAGATTTTTGGAAAGGAAAAAAGATCTGTGGATGGCATTTATTGACCTAGCTTTTGACAGAGTTCCAATTGAGGTGGTGTGGTGGATTTTAAGGTATTTAGGTATTGAAGAATGGCTAGTGACTTTCTAGTGTTATGATGTATGGCAGTGAAACATGGGCAATAAAGGTTGATGATGTTCAGCGTTTAGAAAAGACAGAAAGTATGATGATTACATGGATGTGTAGTGTGATTCTAAAAGACCAGAAAAACAGTGATGATCTAAAAAAAAAAAAATTATTAAAATATTTCTCATTTCTCTATGTATTCATACATATATACTTAATTTATTTGTATAATTATAGTTTATTTTTTTATCAGTATATAATATAAAATGTATTTTAGATGTATTTAGTTTTGACAGATGCAGACAATAATTTGCAAGGGCTTTTTTTTCAAGATTTTTTTATGCACAGTGCCTACAACACATATCCTGAGTTTTTATGCATGGATGCGACATATAAATTGTTAGAAATTTGACTGCCTGTTTATATTCTGCTGTGCGAAGATGGAGCTGGTTGGTTTCAATTATTTATTAATCAAAGTTTTGATGTATATAATTAGTTGGATGGTAAAGATTCATAAGGGAGGCGGAGACGCATTAACTAAATATGATGTTCACGCCGTGAACATCATATTTAGTTATGCCTAATTTACATTCACTTTTTTGTATAGGTGAAAGTGAAATAGCTGCTGTAGAAGGTGAAAGTGAAATAGCTGCTGTATATATATATATATATATATATATATATATATATATATATATATATATATATATATATATATATATATATATATATATATATATATATATATATATATGTGTATATATATGTGTATATATATATATATATATATATATATATATATATATATATATATATATATATGTATATATATACACACACACACACACATATATATATATATATATATATATATATATATATATATATATATATATATATATATATATATATATATATATATATATATATATATATATATATATATATATATATGTGTGTGTATGTATTTCTCTCTTTATGATTTTTTTATTATTTGTTTTAAAGTTGGTTTGTTGAAAGATTTAAGAGTTTCAATATTGCTTGGCCAAAGGCAAATGTCTTCATGACAGACAAAGACTTAACAGAAAGAGAGATTTTACGTAGTGCTTTTCCTGGGGTTTCTCTATTACTCTGCTTATTTCACACCATGAGGTAATATTAATTACCCAGAAGTGACTAGCGCTAGATTAATGGATAATGTTTCCTTCTGATTTTTAACTTGATTGTTACAGCGCTCGAAATAGTTTTTCAAAGTTTGCCGATCAAATGTAATTTTTCACAAAAACAGGTTATTTTTCCTTCGATTTTTCAAAATTTCCCTAAAAATAGCCGATCATTGATCGTTGATCGGCTGTTATTTCGAGCACTGTTGTTAATTTTTATCTGTAAATATGGATTATATAAAATCTTATAAACTTTCTTTTTTAATTGTTTTGTTAAGCCAACATCACACTTTTGTTTACAGAACTTTCAATCGTGAGATTACAACTTCCAAACTTGGAATAACAAGCGGTGAACAGACTTTATCTTTAGAACTTATTCAGAAATTGGCTTACGCTACATCAGAAGAAGTTTATGATGAACTATATAGATTATTTATTTCATCTTCTCCAACTACTGTTGTAGATTATTTTAACAAGAACTGGCATAATATTCGTGTTGATTGGGTTCTTGGTTTAAATTTTGCTAGTGGAAATTTCATGAACAGCACCAACAACCGCCTTGAAAATTTCAATGGCAAATTAAAAAAAGTGATTGACTGCAACAGTTCCTTAGAAAATTTCCTGGATAAATGTTATGTTGTTCTAGCATCAATGCATAACGAGAGAGATCATTAATTTAAGACTATTTTTCAAATGCAAAAAGTTCTGGTTGACATGTTTGATCCCAACTCAGCAGAGGCAGCATATAAGAAAGTTCTAACATTGTACGCAGCTCAACATGTTTTAAAGCAAATGAGCTTGCGCGGAGACATTAATTTGTTACAAAGAGAAAATGAATACTTTATGGTAAACACCGCTGTAGGTCTGCATACAGTGACTTGGAATTTTTGTTCAAGTATGTTTAGAAAGTCAATGCACTTACCTTGTAGACATATTTTTGCTGCCCGCCAATTCCTTAGAATAAATTTATTTGATATTGACTTATGTGCTGAACGCTGGACATTAAAGTACTATCGGCAGCATCAACGAGCTTTTAATAGTCCTATAATGGCTGATGAGTTGAGATCTGTAGAGTTTCATGTAGCTCCTAAAAAAAAGCTCCTTTCTCAGCATGAGAAGTTTAAACTTGCTCTACAGGAAACATCATTTCTTGCTACCCTTGTTTCTGAATCCACTGGACTTTTGAACAACGTCTTTTACAAGCTCTAAAAAAAGGTTGGACTGATGGAAAGGTCATGTTAGTTAATGAACTTATTGATGTGGACATTTGTTCATCAAAAACAGAAAGTACATTACCTAGTGCATTAACTATAGTTACAGAATCTCCAATAAATTCATTGGGATGTGTATCTGGAGATAATGGTGTAAACACTTCAGTAGCACCGTTAGTAGGCAGTAATAAAAATGTTTTAAGCACTAAAAAAAATGTTTCACAATTAACTACAGAGTATGCAATTGATAACTACAGCATTTTATTAGAGGAAGCTATTATTTCTGAAAAAACTCAACATGAAGAGTTAACATCTGTGAAGAATTATGCAGGTGCAAGTTTAAATTGTTTCTCCTATTAAATATATCTTTATTAAAATACAAATAAATCAACAAATTTAATATTTTCACACTTTAAAAACCATAAATTTCTTGTAGAGTCTCACCTGAACAGGATTCGGGTGCCGAAACATGTTTCTTGATGTGGACGACCTAAAGGTTCTACTCTGACCACTATTGGTTTGCCAAAAAAGCGACAACCTAATTTGTATGAAAAAAGAGTACCTTTTTTGAAATTACATCCATCAAAAAGACATGCTAGTATGTATAAAAGATGCAGATGTTTTTTTTATTAGTATTTCTATTATATAATGTACTTGTTAATTAATCATTTTTAACTAACCAAATATTAAAACTTTGTATTTAGTGATGCTGGGTTGGTTTTTAAAACCAGATGATGTCCATAAAGCTCTTTCTGGAATTCTCATTGAAAGTAATTGTATTGAAAAAAGAGTCAATCATATCTCATCTGCTATTCTTGATGAAAGTGCTGGAGGAGCTCTTTTGTCGCTACAAGGGTATTTTACCCCAGATGGATGGAAAGTGCTCCATGAACTAATTGATACCAAATCTCGTCAAAAAGTTTGGCCTTGTGCTGTGTGCCAAAAAAGCACTTGCTTGGTTAATGACATTGGGGACTCAGTAGGATGTGATTCATGCTTTTTGTGGTTTCACAAAAAATGTGTTGGTCAGAAAGAAGGAAATCTTCTAAAATCAAAATACTGGTTTTGTCATTCTTGTTAGAATATTTTTTTATTAATGAAATATAGTTATACTTGACTATATTATATTTGGTATCAAGTGCTTAACTCATATGTTATAAACAACATCAGATGTTTTATTTTACTATTATATTTTAAGTGTAATGGATTTTTTACACATTGATAGTTACAAATTGTGTATTGAGAGCCCTCAGGTTGTATGTTAATTTATAGGTTTTTCAGGTCAACTGCTTCCTTCACTTATTCCTTAATCTTAAACTCAACTAAATTTTTGTAATCTAAATATAAATAGACCGCTTAAGATTTAACACCAGCGCGAAAACAAAATACAGAAAAAGTAAAGCTAGTGTAACTAGAATTATTAGAATCACTAGAATTTTTAGAGCTTTACATAGTTTAGAGTTTTTTAGTAACAAACAATTTTCACTGAAATTTTTAGAGCTTTATATAGTTCAGAGTTTTTAAGAACAAACAATTCTCATTAAAATTTTTAGAGTTTTAAATAGTTTAGAGTTTTTACCAACAAATAATTTCCACTAAAATCTTTAGATTTTTAGATAGTTAGGAGTTTTTAACAACAAATAGTTTTCACTAAAATTTTTAGGCCTTTATATAGTTAAGAGTTTTTAACAACAAATAATTTTCACTCTTAGAGCTTTATATAGTTTAGAGTTTTTAACAACAAATAATTTTCACTGAAATTTTTAGAGCTTCAGATAGTTTTTAACGACAAATAATTTGCACAGAATTTTTTAGAGTTTCGATAGTTTAATATTTTTAACAACAAATAGATTTTACTGAAATTTTTAGAGGTTTATATAATTTAGAGTTTTTAACAAAAATAATTTACACTGAAATTTTTAGAGCTTTAGATAAAAACAAATAATTTAACTGGAACTATAAAATTTTTAAATAGTTCAGAGTTTTTTCTTTTCTTTTTTAGCCGAAAATAATTTTAACTAGAATTTTTAGAGCTTCAGATTTTTTAGATTTTAGATTTAGATTTAGAGTTTAATGTTTTATTTTCCAAAGTTCATGAGTAAGTAAAACAAGTGAAACTTTCAAAGTAAAATAGTTGTCATTTTATTCTTAAATGTTATTTAAAGATAGGTAAATAATTTATTTTATGGTTAACAACTTCCATAAAAAAAATTTATATATAATTTTAGAATTTTTTGAACTTAACATAATTTTTAATCCAAAGTTTAAATTTGTTATAGTATTATTATTTTGTTACAAGTTAAAACAAGTATATTTTATTATATTCTTTTTTTCCTTTTTCTCTAGTTCTTCTGATTCCAGTTTGAGGCTTTCTGTTGAAATATGGTTTAATTTAGTAAATTTTCATTACTTGAAATTTACTAAGTTAATCATAAGCTAACAGTTACAGAAAATTTGAACTAAACAATATTAAGGTAAGAAGTTTAGTTTACTTGTAATATTACAAAGTATATTCTTACTGGTAATTTTGTTAATTCTCTTTTGTATAATGAGAATGTTTTTTTTATGACACCACTCAAAATCAAATTTGCCTATTTTTACACAATTATTTGAATGTAGCCAGTGTCATCTCCAGGCTGATTTTGATACCAGTATCTGGCATTTAAATGTTTCATCTAAACTCCAGTTTGTATTAGTTAATAATAAATATATTAATAAACTAAAATCATTACAAACAGTGACTGTTCTTGAATGTTTTCAGAAGCATTCAACATATTTTATTGTTTCAAGAAGTTATTTTGGAACCAGTGATCCCAAATAACTTCTGAACAACATCACTGGTAATAGACACAAGTAAGAGGTCTTCCATAAAATACGCACACCTAAAATTTAGATCCTCCTTCCCTAAATAGTATGCATCTCACTGAGTCTGTAATTTGCTCAATGCTTGAACTAATATTTAGCCCTGTGGTAACCTGTTCTAATAGTTATCAAAATGAAGTATGAAATGATTCATAATTAAAATGCACTCAAAATCTCCTACATAATTAAACTACTTTTTATTTATATATTTAAACTAAAGTGTTTTGGAACAGTTCTATATAAGTACCTAATGTATATGTACATTATATATTTATGTATTATATACATTATTGTATAATGAACATAACACCTAATAAAATTCTACAATTATTTATTGAAAATTTTAGTGGTTACTACAACATATAAGTATACATCAACCTTCTATATTTTTTAACAGCCTGTTACTTTATTATTATAGCATGTTACTTTATTTTTAGTTGTTCTATCAATTTTTTACTAATTTTAAAATAATTATAAATTAAAAGCAGCATCGGGGCAGTAGAGTAGCAATAGACACACAGTATCTATTAAAAATGATAACAATTAGAATTGCTGCTTTACAATTAGGTCCTGTTCTCAGGTAGTATTTCAATTTAAGGTTCCAATTTAAACAATTATGGTAAACTGGAATCAAAACTCACTTTGATCCAGTTAGGTATCGAACCCAGGTGGGTAACCTCGAAGCCCCAATGACATACTGCTAGACTAGCAATAATATCTTTTATAAGCTAAAATTGCCTTGGTTTTTTGTTCATAAACTAGAAAGGCATCAAACTTATTCAACTTATTTAACGAAATGCACCACGAGAGGGTAAACCATAGGACTTTGCATTCCATAATATAATTTAAAAATTATTAACTTTTGATTTAAGAGAGTCACTAATTTATATAAATACATAAAAACCAATTATGTGGAATATATTATGTAAGAATTTGTTACTTTTTCAAATTAAATATTAAAAAATTATAATTTTACGTAAATCTTGAAATTTTTTAATCTTTTAAACTCTGTACCCCCAGGTTCGCAATAGCGTCATAACCATAACCATGTAATGGGAAAACATTGAACCTACACTGTTGGCTAATGATTAACAAAATAAATTTCAATTCATAAAAATTTACTAAATTGAAACCATATTTCAACAGTAGTCAAATTAAACATAAAAAATGAAGTAGAGCAGAAACTCATGAATGAACTAAAAAAAAAAAAAATAATTTAATAAAGAAACATTTTCCAAATTGCACAAAACAAATAATTCTTTTAAGAAAAATATAAAAAAATCAATACTAGTTTTTGTAGAACATAAAAAATAGCAAACATAGAACTTAAAAACATATATACATAACAAAATATTGATATGCGTAAATTTGGAAAAAAATTAAATATTAATATAACAGTAAAATATCTTTAAATCAGCCTAAAATAATAACGATATGTTGGACTAATAACTATACTAATTAAAGTAAGATAAACACTTTTATTCTATGTTCCTATAGAAAAAAAAAAAAGTCCTACAACCTAAATATCAAAAGCTCTAAAAGTTCTCAACTACAGTAAAATATTTCCGATGCTTTTATATTTCACCCACGTTAATAATCCATTTTATATTGTACATATCACTTTAACAAAGCGTTTATTCAATTTTTTCCTCTACAAAGATGATTATTAGGCTATCACTAAGATATGAAAATATCATAATTAAGTATATGAATATATTTTTTTAATGGAATTTTGTTTATTTGAGGCTGAAAATAATAAAAAAATATGCTTTTTTAACCTTATTTGGGTTTTTAAAATATTTGTAGCCAGCATTTCCTGAATGCCAAAAACATCTGCTTTTGATTGGGTTTTAATTGATTTTGGCAAATTGAGAAAGACCTTGTTTTTCTACAATACAAATTGTTTGTTTTGGATTGTCAAAATAAATTTTGTTTCTGTTATTGAATTAAAGTTCTAAAGTTTACTTAAAAACTTAAATGGTTACCATATACCAAAAATTGGACCAAGTGTGGTGGTTTAATTTTTGATATTGTAGATAGATTTTGAAAACTTTTGCTCAATTATATTTTGTATGAGATAGCTATTAATATATATAACCAATCGATTATATATATTGATCAATCAAATATTTAAATATAAAAGTACTATAGTTCACCAGACCCTTCAAGTCATACTCTAATTAATGTCATGATGATTAAAATCACCGATAATTACAACTTACATTTTTGGATTTTTTGGAAAAGATTACAAACACTTTATATTTAACTCAACAGAAACATCTATTGTTGAGGTGGTAGGTGGTTTGTAGGTACATCCTCCAATTAATGTTTGATGACTTCTTATTACAGATTGAACACAGATTTTGATAATTAATCACATATTTCTTCATTGTTTACAATTTTAAATTTTAAATTTCAAATTCCTATGTTTAAGCTATAACAAATTATTAAACTAGAATCAGTTATCCTAAATATCCTTGTACTGAACTTTGTTAACTGAAATGTCATCTAAAATCGGAATTTGTTTTTACACGTGACTTTTGCAACCAATAGACGCGCTTCCGGTACTACAAGAAAATTTTCTTATAGTACCGACTTTCGGTACTCTATCCACGGCGAATTATTTATCGGCTAAAAAGAAATCTGATAATTTAAAGATCTCAGTATATCGATTTCCTAAAAATGAAGATGAAAAACAAATGTGGATTAAAGTAATTCCAAATGCAAATCTAAAGGTAACGAATGACACTATAGTTTGTGAGTTGCATTGGCCAATAAATTTTGAAAAACAACAAGTTAGAGGAGAATTTCGTCCTAAATTTCCACCATCTGTTTGGCCAGGCATACCGTGTTGTCAAATTCCCACTCAACCTCCTCCATTACGTTCAACAAACAGTGCCTCTTCATGTATTCGAAATTTTGCTCAATATGAATTATCAGCCTTTTTAGAAAAAGATAGAGTAACTTTTGCTGAAATGAAAGAAATTCTTTTATGTAATGAAAGAGATTTGGGTGTTCCATCAGTATACTTTATGATTAATAGCATTACTCATTTGCAATCACAAGCTTATTCAAATGGGGTTCCATGTTTTTTAATTAAGATTAGAGACGATTTACATTTTGAAACTTATCACTATGGAGTCAAAATTAAAATTCCTACAATTTCTAAAAACAGAGTTTCAAAAATTAATGCATGGTCAATATTAGAAAAAGTCCTAGGTTATTTAAAGAGTTTGATTCCTGGAAGAAAAGAAA